TCTTTTCCAACCTTTATGATTCTATGTTTCTATGATTAATCACCGTATTTCCCTTACCAGAGTTTTACAGCAGCAGACTTTTTACTACCCTGGCAAAATCCCACATCTGCCCATTTTCTCAAAATCCCTCTCAGAGGGACAGACAAGCATACTGAGGGGTTGCTGTGCCTGTTGGTCCTTCTTGTTCTCTCCTGCCCCAGGTTGGCCCAAGGACTGCAGCGAGATCCCTGCTGGCCGCCGCAGCGGTGTCTACGTCATCCAGCCCCCAGGACTGCACCCCATCGTGGTGTACTGCGAAATGAATGGGACAGACAGGGGCTGGACGGTCATCCAGAGGAACCGGCGGAGCACGGAGATCACCTGGGCTGAGTCCTGGAGCACCTACAAGTACGGCTTTGGGAACGTGAACACCGAGTACTGGCTGGGCACCGAGTACATCCATCAGATCTCCAAGCAGAAGGTCTACCAGGTCAGGTTTGTCATCTGGGACGCCACAAACAACACCAAGTTTGCAGACTACAACCTCTTCAGTGTGGAAGATGAATCCCAGGGCTACCGACTGAGGCTGGGAGCGTACTCGGGGTTGGCAGGGGATGCCATGACCTCAAACAGTGCTTCCACTGTGCATGACAACATGAAGTTCTCCACAAAAGATCAGGATCAGGACACTCACAGCGGGAACTGTGCCTCCAGCTACGGGGGTGGGTGGTGGTACTCGGCATGTTATTCTGTACGCCTGAACGTCAAGGGGGCCATAACGTGGGGCAGCCTGTGCAACGGGAACTGCCAAGCTTCCGCCATCCTCATCAAACCAGCTTCCTACTGCTAGCTACATTTTCCTTTCTGTTCAGCCTGAGGCTAACTCTAGCTGTGCAAAGAGATGTAAAAAGGCAAAACATGTCATGGCCAAACCTAGTGTCCTAGGGGGCCTTTGCTGAGGTTGATCATGTCCTAGCTACTGAAGAGAATAAGGCATCTTCCACTTCTCCCTCCTGCAGATTCCCTCTACTCCTCAACTGTGCCTTTGTCCTTTTGTTCAGAATCAGATCATTTTAATTATGTTCATAATCTTGCAAGATCTTGAGTTTCCAGATGTGTAGTGTGCTTCAGATAAAGTGTGGAATGGTCAAACACCAGTGGATCTGTACAGCTGTGTAAGTTAATTTACATTCTTCAGGCAAACTACCTAATTTTCACCTGATGAAGATGTTGATCAAGATACCAATGTACACAGTCAAATTCCCACTCTGCACCTTCTATATTTCAGGCTTATATAGTTGTTAAATATTCAAATAAAGCTATTTAAAAAAACCCTGTCTCAGTCGTAAAAGTCTATTTCAAATCTTCAAAGTGCTCACAGAGGTTGGTGTGTTAGAAGGTTTCCACCAACGAAGCTCAGCTTTGCTGTAGGACAGACATTGGGGACTGCAGGGCAAAAGCAATGCCTAAGTAATACTTGAAATACTTCTGCCTCTGCACACAGTAGCTTTGTGTAAGCATAGGAAATGTCAAAACATTTTCACTTTTCTCAGCAACAGTGAGTTGCTTGGGTTTTGCTGTCCATGCAACCCAAATCCCTGAGTGCCGCGAGGAGTGCATCCCCTGAGCCAGGGCCACGCCGGCTTCCAAGAGATGGCAGCACGGAGGGAAGCACCATCCTGCCTTCACTCTTTTGAAACTGAAAAGACATTTCAAAGTGCCATGAAATTTCAGTGTGGAAAGATGTCCTGTCTCCTCCCATCCCCCTGGTATCCGCAGGGCTGCTCCTCACAGGCAGGGATTTTGCTGTCAGACCAGCCAGGGTCGTGGCCTGCAGCGGGCGCTGCTGCTGTTTTTCCTGCCACCCCAGCCAGTGTCGTGGCTTGCAGCGGGCGCTGCTGCTCTCCCATCGCTCGCCGCAGGGTGACTTCCACCTGCAGAGCGGGGAAGCAGGATGAGTCCATCAGTGCCCTAACGTTCCCCTGACAGGAGGATGTGATCTGGAAGACCTCAAGCCCCAGGTGAGCAAGGGAAGCAGCCTGCCCTCAAAAGCATCTGAGCAACCCCTTGTTCCCATGGTTGGACTTTCTGCCAGGACCCCAAACACGCTGCCTGGGCTCTCCAGGAGCTGAAGCGCGCAACAGGCTGCAAACGTAACACAATTCATGTAGAACTAACACATCCCAGGAAAGGTGATCTATGTCAGATATTTTATGTCTTTAGGGATTTTAAGAGGTGTGAGAAGTCTCGTTTGTGAAGGAGGGACTCAGATCTGAACCAGCAGGAAAGAGCAGAGTGAAGGAGCACTGGAGGAGCTCGGAAGATCTCTGGCACAAGGCATCAGCAGGTAAATGAACAGACCAACATTTGCATTGATTTATGTCAGGACTCAACATTACAGCTCAGAAAATGCAGAATTCTGTCTTCAAGCAGGATTTATCATCTCTGACAGGGTCAAGCCTATGGACACACAGATTCCATCATTGACCGTCCACCCACCAATGCAAAAACTAAGTTTCCCACAAAAATCATGGCTTTACATTTTTATTGAAAGGACTGACATGTTCCCTTCTTTGAGGGAAGAAGCACATCAGCAGATGCCATCCGTTTCAGGTTCTAGCCACTGTGGTATTAATGTGCTAAAAATGCCTACCCCAGCGTGTGAATTGCAGAGTGTCTTTGGCTCCGTGAGATGAGAGCTGCCTTCCTCATAAATGGAGAAAGATAGGCTAGCAGATAAAAACTGGTAAAAACAAATCTTTTATTATCTTGTATGCTTGTGGGGGATTTTTTTTACACTAGGGTTTTACTGGGTCTGTGTGTCTGCCTTTTGAAGTGGTATTTCTCTCCCCACCTCCTACCACCTCCTGTTTGCAGTGAGTCATGAGGTGCATGACGGGCAAGAGGAGGCAGCTGCCAGCTCAGAACAAGGACAGTGTAGGAGATAATAACTTCAACAAAATGTTCTCAGCTGTCAAACTTGGGAATTTCTTCTTGCATTTAGAGATCTTTCCTTGGCTGACTCTCTTGCCTTGAGATAGATGTGGAAATGTGTGATTAGAGCGACGCTCTGCTGATGCCCTCCCCGCCAGGATCTAGCGGATGTGCACCCATCGTGCACTGCTGGTAAGGCAGGAGGTAGCAGCACCCACCTGTACCCAACAGCATGTTCTCCTTCCACAACGAGAAGAAGGATACCATCGGGTACCCCCTCTTCATGGTGAGTCTCCTTAGCTAGATGCAGAAAAGTCTCTTTTGTGCCAAGTCTTCTTGTTATCTCTAACAGGGTGACGTTTGTCAAGCTACACTTTGCTTTTCCTACAAACCCCAGGGCTGCTGTGTGCCCTAACGTCTCTTCTACTCTCTCCAGAGAGGCCCGTTCAGCTGGTCCCATAGGAACAGAGACGTGGGGTGGCAAGCTAGCCCTCTCCAGCGACGTCCTCCTCCTGGGCAAGCACCCGTTACCATCAAGAAATGCACTTAAAATGCAAAGGTGATGTGCAAAGAAGTGATTTGAGAAACACAAACTCCTTGCTTACATTTCTGCTGGTCTCCAGAGGGTGCTCTTGCCCCGGGCTTGCCAGGCAGCTTCCCGTGTGAAGGAAGCGTTGCAGGCAAGGGCAGCCCAGAAATGCTGCCCAACAAGCCCACCTGCGGGCTGTCATTTTCTCTTCCATGTTCATTGCTCTGTCCTCCTGCAGGGCGTGCTGAGAGCCTGTCAGCACAGGCTGCACACACGGGAGAGTGCGAGCAAGGCTATCTGAGGAAGAAAGCACCAAGAACAGCATTGCATGGATATACAGCAGAAAAATACTTTCCAGCCAGAGGGAATACAGCCAACTCTCTCTGAACCAGGGTTTCCCAAACTTTTCCGAAGGATTTAATTATCTGGGATGCCACCATCTCTTTTGGAGAAGAAACTGACATTCCACCTTCCCCCAAAAGCTTTTCCTGCTTTCCCTTAGCTGCTGCCTCGTGATCCGACCCCCTTCCACTGGGCACTGGGCACTACATCAGGTGATGTCTGTGCAAAGATCAGCTCTCGGTGTCCAGACAAGCAGAGGGAGGCAGAGCAGGGTGTGATGCAGATGTGTCGTGCTGTGTGTCTGCCGCAGCACCCTTGCGCACAGGGACCCCATCCGCAGGGTCTCCTCCTCCTGGGGTTGTGGCAGTGCCCAGCCTCCTGCTGCGCTTTGCTTTGTGCCTATCTGCCAGCTGGGGAACAGAGCTGGGCTTCCAGTTCCTAAATTTAGCTTTTGTGGGTTGTCTCTCTCCTCCATTTCACAGCAGTCTGGTCAAATCCTGCCCAGATCGATAAATCCAGCTCCATGGGCGCCCACGCACTCGGGGCAAGCAAAGGCTGGCTCCATTCCCAGGCAGGGGAGGAAGAGGAGCGACACACCATGGGCAGGGTATCGCAGCACCACCACAGCTGTGACAAGTGGCAGTGTCCCCAAGCTAGCCTCACTTGCAGAGGAAGGAGCACTTCCAGCAGCTAGAGACAGAAACAGGGTCAGATCCCCATGGTGAGTCACAGATCTTCCCATTTTAAGAGCACAAGCCAGCAGTGATTCTGACGAGCTGTTTCTCATTAAGGCCATATTTCACTCACTGCTTGTTACAAGCTCTCTGTTTCTAGCAGGGATGCTGTGATTTATCTGGACACTATAGCCACGCGCTTCCCAAGCAGTCCCCGGAGCCCTTTTCCAGTGATGTGCAAAGATCCTGTAAGGTCACCTTCTCACCTACGTGGTACTTGGCCACACCAAAAGAGGGCTTGCCTTGGCACCCGGACCCTTCGGTGACTTGGAGTGTGTCATAAGAATAAAGCCTTAAATCTGACCCCTATAACAGAGCACCAAGGCAACAGGCTGCAGTCTAGGTGGCAAAACTGCACTGGTACCTCCTGCTTCCACCTCCTCCAACCTCTACTAATTGAGCTCTGGGACGATTATGGCTTCTGGGATAGTTGTTGGCATTTTCTTGATTACAGAAAATCCTAATAAACAGGTAGCACCAGGCACGCAGGACCAGGTTCTGCGTCATTTGGTGGGTTTCTGCTGCAGGAGTTTGGAGATCCAGCCCTCCCAAATTAATGCTCTCACAGCAAGACTTCAGATGACCATGCCATCATGACCCTGGAACTTGCCATCACTTAGGGGTCCTCAGCCTCCAACATGATACTGCGTCTCAGCAACACCTTTATCAGGATCTCTCTCCTGCCACCCCCTGTGGCCTTGTGCAGCAGCACTGAGGGGGGCTTGGGTGTTCCCAGAAATTTAGGGATGGCCACGAAAGCTTCCGGTGAAGAGCTTCAGCTCCAGAGGGGGTGGGTACAGCGAGCTTATTACAAGATATTTCCATCTCTTCCTCCATTCTTCAACTGCCATGATGAAGAGGAGCCAATGACCCTATGGGAGATCTGGCAAGACCAACAGCATGGCACCACATCCTTCACCCACCCCTGCAGAGCACGAACCACTGCAGGCACTGCTGGTTGGACTGCACCCATGTTGTATGTGCCAGCATCCTGCAGTCCAGTCCTTTAACATCAATCCAGTCCTTTCTGTTGGCCACCATTTGGTGTCTTGGATGGAGCTTGCCTACAGAAATTTCATCTGCTTCCTGACGGAAAATGGGGCCTCAGAATAATCTTCTAAGAAATGTGGTAAAGTCAAAAGAGCAGGGATGATGAGCTTCAGGAATACAGATCCCAGGCTATCTTCTCCTACTGAGTGGGGGGAGCAGGTTGCTGTCAGGGAGAGGCAGCACTACAGCAGCCAAAACAGGAGACAGAGGAGTGCCTCGTCCCAGGCGTCCACCTCTCTTCAGTGATGCAGCAAAAGACTG